ACCCTTTTGCTCTATTCTAATCCACATCCTGTAGAAATACAGATGCATGTGATAGGACATTAAAGCAGCAAAGTAGGAAAACAACAAAACCATAGACTTACCTTCCTTTTTCTTTTCTCCTTCCAGTAGCATGGAGTGAAGCTATATTAAGCTGAATAGACTTTTATAAAATTGGTAATTAACATGTAACTTACCAAGAGTTTTAGAACTTGCTTATCCCAAGCCAACTTTGGAGCAGGTGCACCGCTGAAGGGGGAGACTGAAGTGTAGGAAAGGAGTGAGAAATGAGGAGGGGCAGAGAGAAATCACTATATCCTGACCGGACCCACCCCTTCCAGTGCTGCTCATTGCCTCACTGAAGGGACTGAGTGTGACCTGTGGTGATAACAAGGGGGAGAGGGGGAGTCTGGAGTTGGGAAAGGAGGAGGGGTGGTTTATTCCCTAAGTGTTTTAACGTTTGTCTTTTTTTGTTTTTATCTTGTCTTTATCTGTCTTTATCTTGGCCTAAAAGCTTTCTTGGTCCTATTCTTCCCATTTTCTCTCCCATCCTGCTGGAGCGGGGCAGAATGAGTGAGCAGCTGTGTGGGTGTTTGACTGTTGGCCAGGGCCAACTCACCACTATCATCTGGGCAAGTGTGACAATCCAAGAATTGCCAGGAGAAGTAAGCTGCTTGAACTACATTTTCTGGTGCTTGGAAGCCATCTACTGGATGGGTAAAAAGAACCAATCCTTCATAGCTAAATGCTAAATTGGTCATCTGAAACTCAAAGGCTGATCATTTTCAACATTTCTAACATGCAGCATATCACAATCCTGAAAATTACTACCATGGGGAAAACATTCAGCCAAACATGAGAACTTGGCTTACAGGACATGGGGAGTTAGTAGCTGCTCTGTGTGCTACAGACTTCAGCAGTTCCTGCACACAAACTTACACAAATGCATTCAAATTAGTTGCCTCCACATTTCAATAAAGAGTTTATCTGTGGCCAAACGCTTCACTGAAGAGGAAGATGTTTTGGTTAAGTGCCCTCCCAAGGCATTAACCTTGGAATTACGCAAAATTGGGATATGCTGGAAGATGAAAGCATCCAGGACCTACCCTGTTTCTTTCATGTTTTCTATTTTTCCCTCCCACCAGCACTGACCAGCATGCTGAACTCTGTGCCACAGATCCCAGCGCTGCCCCAGCCATCCTCCTCACCCACTAGCCCTGGCTGACACAACACTGACGCAAAGGTCCATGATTGACGAAGGGAGATGCAAATCAGCCAAACCCCAGGGAGATAAGTTTTCTCCACTTATCTCCCGTCCCAGCTGGTACATCACCTCCTGTCTCTGGGGCACATGGCTTTCCCTGGAAATTTTCTGATGAATCTCTAAAAATGCCTCTGCAAGGCTGCCTGCTCCATCCCTGGCTAAGATCAGGGTTGAACCAACACTGAAGGATGCTGTGAACAGGAACAAGTGCCACTTAGTGAGGCAGCAGCACCCCTCCAGCCCAGCTGCCGTGCCAGCCTCCTCTCCCAAATGATTTCAAGGGATCCTCCAAGACCCAAATCCTGCCCTCTCACAAAACCAGGCCCCAAGTGAAAGTTTCTCTCCTGCCAGGGAGGCCTTCAAGCATCCTGAAACCCCAAGGGAAGGACCTGGGCTTCTGTGGCACCAAAATCCCAACTCCACCTTTTCTTCAGAATTGGGAGCTTTTCAGAAAAATGAAGACTCAAATAAACATTAGTGCTGTAAATGGCACTAACATAACAGGGTCACGGGGGGGACTGCTGTAATATTGCTCAAGTATAGAGGGACAGGGAAATCCAACTACTGGAAAAAAACCCCTACGTAGGTCTTTTCTGTGCTTTGAAGAGAATGGACATATCTTTATTTTTCTGGACAACTAAACTAATTTGAAATCATAGATATTCCTTACATCTTTAGGTAAATTACAAACTGCATTTGAAAACTATTTCCTAGACATTAAACTCAATGTTCTGAGACTAAGGTAGACTTACTGGCAACAACTACACTGCATGATCTTTAATTCTCTTCAACTCAATAGCCACAATCTAGACAAGAAGCAATTTCCATAGCTGAAGAATCAAGATTGCCAATATTTTTCTTTGGAGTCAAAAATGAAATACAGATCATGGTTCATACATATTTTGAGACACAATTTTTAAAAAAGATGATGTTCAAAAACAACACCTTTTTCTCCTCTATAATAAAATATATAAATTTCTTCAGCCGTTCTGTTATATTCTTAACACGCATTTTCAAGTTGGGGAAAAATCCAAACCCACTGCTGAGGTTTCAGTATGTTTTCTTCTTTTGTCAAACTAGCAGCAATAAACAATAAACACATCCTGACTTGAAACTTTAGCTGCCTACAATGCTGCATTTAAAAAAAATTGGTAATGACTGTGTGCTTCTGGATTTGTACAGCAAGCTTGTCTGTGTCAGTTGGACAAGATGCTGCAGCACCTGTCACTTCCACAGTACCAGTTAGTTTCAGATGCACTTTATTGAGGATTATTTTCGGTTTTATGTATTTTTCTTTTTTATATACATATATACACACATATATATTTTATACACATACACATGTATATACATATATTTTGTGTATGTACAAAAGTGGGGTTTTTGCTTTATACATATGTAAAACACATTATCAGCGAATCTGATTAAAATTCAGTGCAGCCCCAAACCTGTCTCAGTGTTTCTTAAGGTCCTGTGTAGAGCGCTCTCTGCATTTATCTCTAAGACTTGTGATTATCCTCACCTGATGTTTCTATTTCTTCACATCCCATTTCTATGCCTGTCGTGATTCAGCTAGCACCTCTGACATCTGATAAGCCAGCAGATGATCAGTTTCAACATGTCCTTTCTGGATTTTTGGCACAAAAGTAATCTTGCCTAACTTCAAACATCCAGAGCAGAGAGATTTACGCTGCTCACTGCCAGCTCCCACTACAGCCAGTGAGGAGAACCAGAGGCTTGTAGAGACCCATTCTGACTGACTGTGTGCCGCTGCCTTCCACTGACAAGGCAGAGAGCCCACGGGGACCAAGTTCAGATGCAAATGTCCAAATCGGCGAGATAAATTCCACTGTCTGTATTAGATCTTTATTAACCCCCTGCTATTAATATGCTCAAGATTACAAAAATGTACATTTTGACAATTTAACACTTTCAGCTGTAATGCTTTTGTATTCCTATTCATAAATAATATGCAAACCATTAAAAAGCTCACTATAAAAATACATCCTTTTTTGGTATGTCTGCTTGTACCAAAACAAGAATAAAATATAGACAAGTACTGATAGCTCTAAATGTTACTGTTGGTGCAAAACAGACAGCAATACCCTACTCTTGGGCATTATAACATTTCCCCATGCAGAGCAGAACCAAATCTAAAGTAGGCAAATTATTTCATTCAGTGAAAAAAAGTTTCTTTTAATAAATAAAGTACTTGATATGCAAGTTTTGATGAGATGAAATTATTATAGGTATCAAGCCTTCTTAATTAAAAACTACAAATTATTGAACAAAACTGAACTCAGCAAAACTTTCAGGAAACAAAACCGTTACAATACAGAACTCAGGTGTTTGTGTTCATAAATATATATACATATACATACAAATAAAAGGACTGGAAGGGATAAAATTGCTTTCCTTTACACAAGGAAAGCTCTCTGTGCACTCCAAGCATCACCTTTTAGTTACTTCACGCAACTGCTGTAGCTCCTACAAGCCCTGTTCACATTTTTGTTACTGGCTTGTATTTTCTTCTGTGGGAAGTAAAAAACAAACCTGCCTGTCCCTCTATCTCTAGGATAAGGAAAGGAGAGGCTTTGTTCCTTAATAAACCCCACTTTCTTCAATACAACCGTGTGCCTATGGGATCGTAAGCTTGTCATAAGTATTTTGCTAAATCTGCGACATCGTTTTAATATTTCCTCAAATTAAGGTCCCTTATTTTTTAAATAATCAAAGCACAATTGATTCTTTTAAAGAACAGAACTGGGCAAAATGTTCCACATAATAAGGTAAATCTCATTTAGTCGTCCCAGACAGACTTCTTCAAACATTGAGGTCTAAACTGAAGATAGCAATCTTATGCAAGGAGATTAATATATACTCAGAGGATAAAACATGTATACACACTGCTGAATTCAAATAACATAGGAAATTAGTATTTTCTGAAAATGCAGTGTTTGTGAATGTATTCTGTGCACACCTTTCTCAGATGAATTGCAAAGGAAATCTTGGCAAGTAATGCTGAAATCGGCCCTTAGAGGATTTACAAGTTGACAAAACCCATAGGCAGCTACCGGGTCTAACTCTATGGCATGTTACCCATGAATTAATACTGCCCTTTTTTTAGCTTTGAGAAAGCTTGTATACTTTCCGCAGTTACAGAGCAGATCTTCCGTTCATCTGGCACAGCATTCTTCTGTGTGGGTTGGGTTCCCCCCCCTCCCTGTGTAATGCTTCTTCACCTTCGGATATCAGCGCTGACTGCAGACAGTTTGATTTCAGCTGTGTGAAGCGAGTACAGCCTGCGGCTGCTTGCTCTGCCCATCCTGGGAGGAAGCCGTTCCAGCAACGGGGGAAGCCAAATGGGATTTAAGGTAGCTACGCAGAGGCCCCGGTTTACATCCTCCCATCCTAGGTAGCCCCAAGTCAATGCGGGTTTAATAGCCTGGAATATAAACTGCGGGACCCCGGGAGTTGCTTCCTCTGTGGTTCACCCTCCCTAGCTAGAGACAGAGGAGGGAAAGGCAGGAATTGCTTTAGGAACTTGAGTTTAACCCATCCAGAGATGTCAGAGTAAACCCTTAGGCTAGCAATGCAAAACCCAGCATCACCTTTGCCTTCTTTGTCAAGGCAGTCCAATCTTTTTTCTCTGACAACTCTCAAATATGCTATTTTTTTCCCCCAGACAGCATAGCAATGTATTTTCTGGGGTTTTTTATGGCTGACTGACGGTGAATTAAGCTGCACGGGAAAGCAAAATGTTTATACAATAAACCATAAATCAGTTCGTAGTTATTAATGAGCATTCTCAAAATGTTACTGCTGCCAATTTGAAACCTAAGTCACTGGAAGTGGTCACTCACTATATTATACAAAGGAAAAAAAGTCACTGGTTCTTCACGTTCTGAAAAGGGGGATGTGATAGTAGCGGTCATCCTCGGTCAGGAGAGAAATCTCATTCCATTCCCTTCGGTATTCGTCTGGATAGTTTACTTGAAATTCCTCAGTATTAAACCTATGCAGTCTGTAAACTCTTATCTTTACTTGAAGTAAGTATCCAAGAAGAAACAGTTCAACCTAAAGATGAAAGAAGTCTGTAAGACATTTATTTCTAGACTTGGAAAACTACCCCGAAGATAATCCAAGTTAAGGCAAGTCATATAGCTTCAAAACAGTAGACATGGAATAAAAGGGGCCCTTTTGGAAGTGAAGTAAGAAAATGAAATGTTTGAGGGCATTTTCAATGTTCCAACAGTCCTTCCACTGCCCTTTCGCATGTAGGGGATATTCTGGTTAATGCTTGACATTTCGGAAACATCCCTCCTCCACCTGACCCAATACATAATCTGCTCCCAAAGTCAGCTCACACAGCTTAGTGAGGAGCAAAAAGGGACTAGCTATTATTAAAAGATGGATACACCTTGAAAATCGGGAAGCCTGCCACCTTGTGCTCATTTACTGCATGAGAGAAATGTTAATAGTAAACGGAAAAAATTCCCTTGTATATGAAACTTGAGGACTGGCATCTTCATTAACGCTTCTTGCAAAGGATTGCTTAATCTGGAAAAAAACTTTGGAAAAAGCTTCATGTTCTTGGGCATAGCCAGACAGAGCAGAACTTGTCCAATTATAATCAAACTGCTCCTGAAGGTGACTGCAACATGTAACAGATGACTTGGTAACTGAAATTGATTATAAAATCAATTTTACCTATGGGAAAGTGAAAATATTTGCAGAGTGGCAATGTGGAGCTTAGATGTCAGTACTTAACTCCTTGCTAAATACAAAATTGAAAAAAAAAAAATCTTAACATATAAAGGTTAATGGTTAATAGAATTGTCATTACATACTCTTAACAGACATTGGATCTAATGGGAACCAAAGAGAGGGGAAAAAATAGAGCGATGATAGAGGGTTTGGCATAGTGCAACAGATAGAAAAAGCGACACAACAGGTCAAATCTGCATAATCGAAAATTATTTTACATTTCAAAGGTATCATTGTTTTAAACTATGCCTCATTGATGGATTGCAGCATTTATTTCTGGCCCAGCAAGAAAACTGTCCACCCCATTTTAGTCTACTACAGGTTTTTTCCTGGAAGATAAATGTCTATCATCACTTCTCTTCCCCACATCCCAAAGAAAAAAAATGGGCCAGCTATGATGGATGATGTATGATATATTCATCTAATCGCATCAGAGACGGAGTAAGTTTTGTGATTTATTTTTCATTTATATCATTACCTGGTCTAGGCAAATAGAGTCACCTATGGCGTTCAGATGATTCATCATGAAACTCAAAGGGTCAGACGAAGAATCACGAGCAAGGAGAAGGCTAAAAAGGTTGTGTATGGGTTCTTCCCTGTTCTTTATCTGCTCGTAGGCTTCAACAACTTCGTAGAGCATGATGAATTTTATGGCCTCATATAGTTTGTGCTCCTTGCTCTCATCAGAAAAGAGTGTATTACACATGTTCCCTCTTTCTTCATGATCTTTAGTAGCACTTATTTCAGTCCACTGGAAAGCACACAGAAGAATACTAATCAAATTATTAAGAATTCTATTTAATATGCAAGATTCCAAAAGAGAAAACGTTGCCTGTGTGTACTGTACCATTACTGTGGCCAAATGGTGGCGCAAATAGGCAGGCGGCTTTTCCAGATCCACAGTGAAATTTGAAACCTTACACATTTTAGTTTCCATTTATGCAGCTGAACCTATTTGCTACAGACAGCTCCAAGCATCCGGATGCTAATGATAGTCTATGAGAAAGCAAATGTAATTCCCCTATACAAAAGCCACCCACCACTACTGTAGACAATCCAAGTATCGTCGTCGGTAAAAAGTCTGAAAGGAGCGTAACCACCAAAAGCACCTCAGAAAGTTAAAGGAAATCCGTGTGGGTGCACCAGACATACACACTAAGCCATACGCAAAGGTTAGATTAAGTGGTGACGCCTGACCTGTTTTTAACTTACAGCTCCCAAAAGTCAATGATTTTCCTCTACAGTACCCTTTACATTAAAGCTGTCCTAGCTTAAATTCCTTAGATGCTGAGCCCAATTCAGAAGTGTGTCAGTTAAAAGGAACCTACACAAACTGGACAAGCCAGAATGGTCTTATCAACTGTACGTATCTGTATGTCTTTAGTGTGTTCTGTTTCACGAGGTCAAGGTAAGTTGGCTGCATAAGAAGGGACAAGACACAGGCATGCATGGGACATGAACGGGGAAAGAATTTTTGGTTCTGCTCACAGTTGATAACAAGAGCTCCTGAGCTCTCTGGTGCTCTACAGGAGTCACAAGCCAGCACTCACACCCAGAAAATGGGCATCCAGGGGACAACGTTGGCCTGGGTACCAAATCAGAAAGCTTAAAGCACCTAGTCCTGAACACAGTAGCTAAAAAGAGTCATCTGGAACCAAGAGGTTTTTTGGGACCACAATAAGAGATGATGCGCAATGACTGGGATTCAAATGAATTTTAGTTAATTCTGTGCTTGTACCATTTATACGTTGAAGTGGCCATAAACTGTGAACTGAAACAAAAAAAAAAAAAACAACCATCGAACTTACCCATGAATACTTTATTGAGAAACAGATGCCCCCATCTCTTCATGCATTCCTGAAGACTTTCCTTGCAGGTTAAAAATGAGATCAAGTGGATGAACCACTAATGTCCCTTTGCTAGAGGACCTCTACTACCTAAATGTAAAGCACTATTAACCAACGTGGCCCAGGCACAACAGCATCTCCAGACAGCAGCCCACAAGATGATGATGGCACTGGGAAATGCAGCAGAGAACCCTGCTAGTGAAAATAGGCAAAAATCCATCTCACTGGCCAAACAGCATCTTTATGAAAATATAATGAAGTTGGGAGCTAGACCTCATGCCCAATAACAGCATAATGCATCATACAGCTTGCTCTGCAACAATTTGCTAATTGTATGGATTTGTTCACCACGCTGACTTGAAACTTTTATTCTGTATAAACACACAGTTTAAATGTTTCGAGGGACTAACATCAACTTAAAAGAACTAGAACAAGTTAAAAAAAAAAGCCAAACAACCCAACACTGGCGAATGGAAAGAGCAACCAGAACAAAATGATAACTGCCTGCAAGAACCAGCAGGCACATCTCAAGAAGACAGGCAGTTGTCCCTGTGGCACAGCAAGGTTGCAGGTAAGGGACAAGGACCAGATCTCTATTTTAGTTCCCTCTTTTTATTACTAATGCTAAATAAGTCTGTTTGCTGTTTTTCTTTAAGTAACAATTACTATCACTGATAATAGGGTTTAAAACTAGAGTTGTGGCTTGCATACACATGGCCACATAAAAGGAACTAGCTTAAATGTATACCAGTAAAATCAGCTGTTGTAGCTGTGGTAAGACATCCCAGAACCGTAAGGTGCACTGTAGAATTAAAGATGACAGTTTAAGATCTGATATACCGGACAATGGATGCCTTCAGAGAAGGGTTTCAACCTAATCTTGGCCAAAAACCCTGTAGTCCAGCAAATGCCAGTATCCACTTGATGACTGTGACCAAGGGGAGGATACAAAGCCAATGGCCGTCAGGAGGAAGATGGCGAGGAGAGGGCAGTGGTGTGCTGGGGAGAGCTTGTGGCAAAGCAAATAGGAACCATCCAGAGCTCACACAACTGCAGACGTGCAGAAACCCCCACAGAGCTCAAGGAAGGTGCAAGGTCTTGTCAGAATGATTTTTTAGCTCTGTTTCAGAAGGCTTTGGGACTACTAAAACTCCCCAAGTTTAAAATATGTAAATAAGACTTATATTCCTGGTTGGGAATGTACGCAACCAGGATATGCCAAGTAGAGGGGGCAGTGAGGCTTGACAGGCCTTTGTCATCAAGTGCTTCAGGTTACAGAGAGAAATTATAGTAAAAATGGATAAATACAAGGTTTCATGGAGAGGGGACCAAAGGGAAGAAAACACTTTTGAGTAGGAAGTACACTGTTCGTTTGTCCCCTCCCATTTGGGGAGGGAATCCAGGAAGATCTCATACAGCATGTTGTTATTTTTTAATCAAAGTGATGAGGTACTCAAGGAGCCTTGAGGGCAAGGGCAACTAACCACGCAACTAACAGCTGTGGGGAGGATGGCCTCTCTAACTTTCAGGGGGACCCCAAGGACTTAACCTAGTCCCACAAACGGGATTCCCTGCAGGAGAGGTGATGGCCTGCCCAGCAGCTCAGGTCCCTGAACCCAGGAGAGAGGCTGACAGCCAAAGAAATATGTAACAAGGAACAGTTCTCTAACTCTGTCTCAACCCACTTGTTGGTGCTTTTATTCCTCCCAACCATCTCTTAAATACTCACATTGGTCTTTAATGTCTCCATACATTTGCGCAGTTTACCAAAGACGTTGGGACCTGTGTATCTTTCTGGGCCAAAACTGTATTGCTGAATCCAGTTGCAACCTTGGGAATACAAAAGCTTTTCAGGGAGCTGGGGAAAAAAAAACCCAAAACCTAATTAAGTAGAGATCATAACCATAACAAGAAGTAGAATATAAAGTTATATAAACTTGTCTACACACATTTTAATTTATGATGTGGTTCTGTGCTCTGGTTGTAAAGTTCAAACAAAAAATATAAATGGGCTTCAGAACAACTCAAATGTTAAGAAGGAAGCTCCATTTGACTGCCAAGTCCTTTAGAAACTTTTAAAACAGGGCCAGCCAAAAAAAGAAGAAAATATGCTCTCAGAAAAGTATATAACCCACACTCTGGAGAAGCTGGATACATCCAAACTTGGTGAGGATTTTAGAATTACATACACCTTCCAGTTTGCACACATGTCCCCACAGGCAGCAGCTATAGCTCCCCACCTCCTCGCCACTGTCTCCTGCCAGTGCTCATGGAGCCCAGGGCAGGATTCCTGCC